AAATGTGTCAGTAGCATGCATGAAAATGTGGCATGTATATTCCTGCCTTAACATAAGTCATACAATTTTTAATTATCTTTAAAAATAAAACAAGTATTGACTTTAACTAAGATTTGTTTCGTTCACTTTTGATAGCCTTTTCCATAAAATATATCCATATACAAACAATGACATTAGTCATACGACCAATAGGATACTGAGGGAATGCCTTGTTACATTATGGATATGGTACAAGGCTAGAATTAATGACGAACTAATGCCAACTATAGTCTTGTAGAACTAACCATACTAATATTATAAATGCGAAAGTTTAGACAGATGGATGGATGTTTGTATTGGAGAATTTGTAGCTTAAACGGTTAAAGTCAGATTATGGAGGATAGTCTGTAGAAACACATAGGCTACTTGTATAACTATAAAGGAGCTTTAAAACTTTGACATAAAACGCTGCAATGGAGAGCTAACCGCAATATTTAAATTACCCAGTTGCCGTCAGGGAAGTACCAAATATCAGGTAATAAAAAAAAAGTTACTGACTTTTAACTACATCTCATGAAATATGGTTAGTCCTAATATAAAAAAATCAGTTATCGGAATTCGACAATAGTTTTATGCACTTCTTATACGCTATCAATTAAACTGTGATAGGTTTTACGTTTATGTGCTAGGGCAATTTTTTAAAGAGGTACAACTTTCGCTTTACACATATATATAACGATATAAGGTGCGATACATTTGGACGAATAATAAGTAGTTAACACATTCTGTGCCGATCACTCCGTGGAGAACACCATGACTATTGTCTTGCTCCACTCGGAATCGAGCGAGCGTCTTTTTCACATTGCAATTAGTTTGTCGGTTGTAAAATTTGATGACGAATAAGAAGTACTGAATTAACTTTTCAATAGACGACTAATTCTTGGGCAACCACTATCTATGGAGCGGCTGGACTAATTTTAAAAGGGCTATGAGGAGAAACTAGTCGATGCACGGAGAAATAATATGGACGTTTTCTTTTTATTTCTTCTCTGACGAAATCGCGAACGATCTCCGTAACAGCTGGATCGATTTTGACTTTAACGGGTATGTTCTGGGGGGACGAGGCTGCCGATGATCACTTGTTCATACAAAACTTGAAGCATTCATTTGAACTTAATCATGAACGTGTTAAAAAATTTTGGTTACCAACGAAAAATCATTCATTTATTTTTAAAGTAGTGACTGTGTTTAATTCACCACAGTCAATATGTGCCACGTAAATAATTGTCAATACAGATAACATCAAAGTGTATTAGTTCAAAAGTTATGTTATTTCAAGAAATTTCCTATATAGATATTGGAAAAAAATAAAACAGTGGTACTGTCATATTTCGTGGCATATTACATTCAAACACGTTGTTGAACAGATATTTTCATTTACACGCCTGGTAAAATACTTTTGAAAAATGAACGTGAACCAACCTTCAGCTGTTGGTATAATTATTAATTGTATAGTAAATTGTATGAAACCTTTGTTGTTCGTCGAATATTGTTATGGGATATTTAGATACCGGCTGGACGAACGTTCTTCGGATGCCATTAATTTGCGAATGAAAATAATAAGTGTAGTTATATCTTCAGTATGGATAACAAGTTTTGTCTACAGTCTGTCACATGCTAAAATAACATTTAGCAATACAGTCGTGATAGCATATTACTTGGTTTCCTTTTTAATCGTGATTGCGTATGCAAGTTCCACGATTATGTTAGTTTTGTGGCAATCTCAAAATAATCGAAAAGTGATTGAAATTTTCGCCGGCATTGATATATCGCTCCATGTAAATATTGACCAAAAAATTTACAACATGTTTTCGCGTCAATGTAAAATATTGTTTACGATATATATGTCATATTGTGTTATCTGTATCGCTATGTATTCTTATTTTTCTACATACGATAACAGAATTACTTACTTGTTTTTTTCATTTATTTATTTCGAAAGAAAAATTGAATTGTATGTGTTTAGTATATTTTTATATATGATTAAACAAAGAATACTGTTAATTAATAATTACTTAAGCAAGATTACAGGCGATCAAGATAATGTTTTATTTAGACGACATAATGTAAATCAATTGGACATCGACTTCATTGGGAATATTTCCAATACAAATTACAAAGTACGTCACTTAGCGTCTGCATATTGCAAAGTGGGAAAGGTTACCATACTAATTAATAAAATTTATAACAGCTTAATGTTAATGACGCTTGTAACAGCATTTATTTTTATTATAATAGCGTTATGGACCATCTTATACAG